ATACCGTTATAATATAATATATATATATATATAAAAATTTTATATATATATATATATCAAGAGATAAAAAATAATTCTTCGGTTAACATAACACAGGATCTAACTATTATCCCATGACTCTCCCATCTTGACATTTTGTAAATGTTATACACGTCGCAAGACGAGTCAATCCTTTAAAATAAAAAAACCCTTGTCCTATATACTACGAATATCTTCACTTGAAACTTTTCCATTGAAGATCAATAATTGTTATCGATCCAACTCAAACGATCAAGTTGATTTCTAATTACAGTTGAATTTGTTTTCTTTTTTAATATATATTATATATATATACCGTTTTACTTTTGAAATAATATTCTTTAATGGAAAGAATTATTCTATTAGATAGTATTTAGTTCGATTGTACTATAATTCCGATCGTATGTCTTCTTGTTACTACCTGTTGACTCGTATTATACATTTTCGAGGTCGATCGGCCAAGCTTTCACTTTCTTCATGTTCTCTGTTATTTTACCTTCTCTTATCTTAATCGGGCCACGACCGAGAGAAATAAGTAAAATACTAGTATAATATATTCTTCCTTTATCTTGTTTTTAACTATATACGTGTTTCTAAATATCTTCATGCATATTAATTATTATTTTACAATGTCATTTTTAAAAAGTTACGAACTGTAAAAATGTTTTCTTTTGTTTTTCCTTTTTTATTCATTTATTTTTATTCACGATTAATTAAAAGTTAATTAACTTTTTTAGTTTTGTAATATTATTTAATAGTATGAGAGAATTTTTTAAAAATCGTAATTTGAACTAATGATCACCATTTTGAAATTTTCCAATATTTCCTCCTAGCAAATTATCGACCATTGTTTTTGTCTTTCTCGGTATACAAGATTTCTGTTTTATCAACATTTTATTACTCTCTATCGGTAAATTATCGATATCCTTACGCGCATGCGCATTAAACACAATTGTGGATTTCTTTTTCTCCTAACCTTAAATTATGTTTGGATTATTGCATTACAAATGCACGTGCCAATGAAACATCTCTAGGATTGTTAATAAGTTAATCAATAAAATCAAAGGATATAATGGCATTGAATAAAAAGAAAACGATATTAGCTGATAAGATAAATAGTCTTATAAATGCAGCACCAACTAATATAATATCGGACGACGAAAATGAGGAAACAAAAGCTAAAGTAGTAGAACATTACGAGGAAAGTGATGATTCCGATGATGCAACCAGACAATCCAAAATTCGTAAACAAAATGTACAGCTGTTGGATGAATTTGACAAAAGGTATTTATTATAGAATTTCATATAATTTCTAATTAAATTATTTAATATATTCCATAGAGAGAGAGAGAGAGAGAGAGAGAGAGAAAGAAAAGTGAAGAACTTATAGATAATATTTTGTTTATTTGTAGGTACGAAGGTAAAAAAGTATCGAGAAAAGATGTATACAAAGATCATGAAAGTAATAGTGACGAAGAGGAACCTGATGATATGGAAGATGAATCCGCAGATGAAATGAATGATCGGATGGATGTTGACAACGATGATGAAGATGGTGATTTAAGTTACGAAGACAAAGAAGAAGAACTTACTGAAGGATCTAAAGACGAAGATGAAGATGAAGATGAAGATGAAGATGAAGATGAAGATGAAGATGAATATAAAGATGAAGAAGGGGTAGATAAGGACAATCCGCTTTACAGAGAAAGAGATGGTGACGCAAACTTTAAAACTATGTCGGCTATTAATGTCAAGGAAGAAATGGAAAAAGGACAATGTATTAAAAATCAATTAAGGATTTGGGAAAGCTTATTGGAAATGAGAATAAAATTACAACAGTGTCTTGCGGAGAGTAATCAAATGCCACAATACGATACGCATAAAAGTTATAGAAGGGACGCAGACTTTATGAAAAGAACGAATGAAGCTAAATCAAAGTTAACTTTGCTCTTAGATAATATGTTAAATTTACAAAGTACTTTATGGAAACAGTTTCCGGAAACTAAATCTATAAATGAAAATAAAAGGGAAAATGAGGAAGAACCGGACGATAAAGATAATTCAATGGACGAAGAAATTCCTTCCGACACCGAAGATGAAGATGAAGAAAAAGAAGCTGAGGTTAGCGATAAAAATGTTGACAGTTCTAATGAAAGTAACACGAAAGAGAATAACACTCTCAAGAGGAAATCCAAATTTGTGGAATACGAGAAGATATTGGATAAAAGACACAAGTCTTACGTTAATTACAGAAACTCTGTAATAAGTAAATGGGATGAAAAAACCAGAATGGCAACGGCTCAGTTAAAAAAAGGTACTAGTCATACTACGATAGAGCGAATAGATTTTGCTTTAAGTGACAAAGGTAAATTACTTAAGATGACACAGTTAAAACGTTCTGAGTACGATGTAATTGGTAAATCTGTTCCTGTGTCGAACGACGAGAATAAAAGAGTTGAAGAATACGATTCAGAAATTTTTGACGACGATGACTTTTATGGTCAACTTCTTAAAGATTTGATAGAATGTAAATCATCCGATATAGAACCTGAACAACTCCATAAATATCGTATTGATCTAATAGATAAAAAGGAAAGAGAGAGGAGGAAAATGAAGAAGGATAGGAAAGTAGATACTAGAGCTAGTAAAGGTAGAAAAGTACGATACAATGTTCACAATAAATTAGTCAATTATATGGCTCCTATTACAGTGTATGATACTTGGACCGATCTTTCTAAAAATGAACTTTACAATTCTTTGTTCGGCAAAATAAAACCTGTTGAAACGGTACAACATTAATTATCAAATGAAATATATATAAATATATATTGTAGGATGTAGAACATCCATTATAAATAAAGTAGGCATTCGTGAGGAACCTTAATGAAGGGTCTTTGGTAGTTCAAAAATTAAAACGGCTCAAACGGAAGACCCGAATGGTTCGAATTCCAGTAGTCAAAAATAAATCCAATTGATCCATTTTTTGTCACGCGAATCCTACAATATCATAAAAAGAGATTATTTGTAATATTATCATCTTATTTGCATATGTATGCATGTATCAAAACAATTACCTCCGTATCACCATTATAATTATAAGACTTCCACATAGATATTAAGTTGGATTAAATCATATTATATTATATACAGGATGTCCAAAAAATTGATTTACCAAATTGAACAATTAGAAATCTATCATAATCTTCACACGTGTACAAGCTTACATCAAGGTTGTGAGTTTTAGGACACCCTGTATACTGTATTATATTATATAATATATCACACAATTTATATGATTAAATGAATATACCTGTATAATTATTGAATATTATATATTTTGTATGTATTAACAATGAACATGAACGAATAAATGTTTAACATAAATACTAATTCAAAATGTGTATTTTTAAAAAATACGATTTTCTATGTCATAAAAATTCTCAAGACAAAATTAACCCTTTTCGTTACGAACGCCGACTATAATCGGCATCAATGCGACTACCCGTGTATACGAGTGCCGATTATAATCGGCGTGAAGATTCCATTTGACCCGTATTGGATTAATTAAAGAGTAAATATCTTAAATACTAACATGGTTGCATTCTTCATTGATTATTCGTTGAATTTGGATGACTTTAAAGTTCAATTGAACATTGTTGCATATCTTTTAGTAATTGGGAACCTGTGATTGCTTTAATTGTGATTCACTGTGATGATGATGATGATGATGATGATGATAATAATGAAGCGTTGTTGAAAATGTTTCAATGTTCCTTTCAAATAAATAAATGTATATTAATAAATTTTTGATAAAAGGATTGTGTATCTAATATTGAGAATTTTTAATTATAATAAACAATGATTCAGATAGAAATTGATGATAATCAACAAATTTAATATTTATGATAAACGAAGTTTCCGAAATCCGTGACGATAGATTGAAAAATATTGAGCCTACCATGAAAGTGGATTATAAAGTTCTGAGCTTAACACGAAAGTGAGATGAAAAGTTTTCAGCCTAATACGAGGTGATTTCTTATCATCCTAAGAAGAAGAACAAAAAAAGAAAACTAATTATATTTAATGACTTAAAATTGTCTGGAAAAGTTTAATACTTTGTCCAAAAGAAATATAAAAAAGAAAAGTAAACATAATTATAGTTAGTAACTAAACCCAAAAAAAAGAAAAAGAGAGAGAGATAGAAGACTATGCAGAGAGTGTTTATCATCCTCAAAAAAATAAAAAAAACAGAAAAATGGGAGTGGAAAGAAGAAGAAGCAGATT